GCAGAGTTGTGGGCAATTAATTAAAAAATTAAAAATGTGAGAACACAGGATAGATAACATTTAATTAGCATGTTAAAATCATCAGTCTGGCTCTGACCAGCATAAGTGACTAATGAATAACTCATTAATCCATAACTGGATTATCTTTGGATCATTTCTACATTATTTTTCTTTTTTGTTCCTTTATTTTGTTTTTGCAGGAATTACAGGAACAATTCTGCCAATTTTCTTACATAGTCTACAGCATCCACGTACATAAACTTCTGCCATGAAGTTGTTTAAATTCCAGAGTCTAAAACTCTTGCAGACTCTGCAGCCTCCTAACAGGACYTTCCACGGACATCCCAGGCTGTTTTTTTCCGATGTATATTCCCAGTATGAGTCCATCAGACGGGGCAAACAGGAAATACCAAAGTACTTTAACTTTGCAGGTGATGTACTGGACAAATGGTCTGAGATTGAAAAGGTAAATGATCGTTTGTTGTGCCAGTTGAATACTTTAATTTCAAATTTAATTTAGAATAGGTTGGGGGTTTTTCTTTATAAAAAAAATGATTTGCCAAACCAAATTTGCATTAGGAAATTATAWAAAAGCTCATTTTTGCTTACTTTATTGTTATTTTTAGAAGCGTTAATGTGCAGTATAAGGCTTAAACTGAACTAGGATCTGGACTAGGATTGGGTCTGGAGACAATTAGGCTGAACTTTGGGCTCAGAAAGGAGACTCCACTGGGAATGCCTGAGCTTCATCCACAGCAAATCCCAATCCTTCAAGGATCAGAGAAAAATAATCATTTCTATGCCAGTTGTGAATACTCAGATCTTCCACTGTGTACAGATGGTTTTGATTACAATTTCATGGTCTTTCAAAATCCCACGTTTTGTGTTTGAATCCCTTGTTTTGCAGGCTGGGAAGAGACCACCCARGCCAGCKTTCTGGTGGGTGAATGRCCAAGGGGAGGAGGTGAAGTGGAGCTTTGAGGAGCTGGGGCTGCTGTCCCGGAGAGCAGCCAATGTTCTGACCAAGGAGTGTGGGCTGAAGAGAGGAGACAGAGTGGTGCTGATCCTGCCACGGGTGCCAGAGTGGTGGCTGCTCAAGGTGGCCTGCATCAGAGCAGGTGAGTGAGTGAAAGGAGCTGGTTTGGATCAGAGCAGGTGAGTGAGTGAAAGGAGCTGTTTGCATCAGAGCAGGTGAGTGAG